ATTCTCTCATGAATATAAGCTATATGTTGTAGTCGGCATCTCATTCAAATTAACAATCACAGTTATATTATGACTGAAAAAAAGACTCATAAAATTTTAAACTCTTATCAAAAATATTAATAAAAAAAATTGCTTTGTGTATTAAATAAAGGATGTAATTAATGCCAGAGGTCAACAAATTATTCAGAATGTTTAAGAACTAGCGGGTCATGAGTTTTTTTTTTGGGAGTAAAAGTGTCATAAGCGGTATTTTGATAACATAAAAGAACTACAAAATTAAAAAGATGGCGAAATCGACATGCGTCGATCTCAAACACCCATTTTTAAAACTCAACCAAACGTGAATGGTGATCTCTGAGTCTTGAAAAGGGGTGCCTAGAGCAGGAAACGTACCCATTTTTCCATTTCTGAAATTTTTGATGCAATTAAAATTTTTTACATTATACATTTCGTATATTCCTGCTTCAGTTTCTTGGGTTTATTTATTCTACAAGCGTAATAATTTATTCGACAAGCGCAATCATGCATTTCCTATACAGATATTCCTGCTTCAGTTTCTTGGGATTAATTATTCTACAAGCGTATTTTCGTCTTTGAAGTAATATATTTGCAATAAGACAAGTTAGTAGTTACCTTTCCGAACAAAAAGCAAGGTATTCTTTGGTATTAGGTATTCTTTGGCCAAGGTAGTTACATTCCTGTGGCCTACAACATGGTCTTTTTAGCGTTTTATGCTGATCGTCTAAAAGTATTTTTCAAATTTAAATTAGTTTGTTAAAATTTTTATATACAGGGTGTTTATAAAGTCCCCGGACCCATTTTGATGTTTAATAAGTCCTAAAATAATAAAGAGAGATTAAAATTAATAACATAAATGGTTAGATAGACGCAAAAAGTTTCATGATCCTTGTCAATGAACTTCCACGTGTGCCCTCTTTCTTCGCACGGAGAATATCAAGTCGATAGTCAATTTCACGCCAGGTAGCGGCAAGCATGTCGGCATCCACAGAGGCTATTGTGGTTGTAATTCTGGCTTTTAGGTCATCAATGTTCGACGCGATCCTCCAGAAAATATTGTCCTTTATAAATTCCCAAANAAGTCGATAGTCAATTTCACGCCAGGTAGCGGCAAGCATGTCGGCATCCACAGAGGCTATTGCGGTTGTAATTCTGGCTTTTAGATCATCAATGTTCGACGCGATCCTCCAGTAAGTATTGTCCTTTATAAATTCCCAAAGAAAGAAGTCCAGCGGCGTTATATCAGGTGATCTGGTGGCCAAGGAATTGGACCTCCTTCGCCTACAGAAAAGACGGTCGCATCAGTCGTATACTTAGACATGTTGGAAAACTTCGTATTTCCACAACTAGAAAAGCGTCAGCCACATGTCTTTTTGCAACAAGATGGTGCCCCATCTCATTGGGGTTCGCAGTTCTTTGAATGACCATTTTCCAGGAAGATGGATTGGGAGAGGAGGTCCAATTCCTTGGCCATTTCCTTTATTATTTTNTTCAGCCACATGTCTTTTTGCAACAAGATGGTGCCCCATCTCATTGGGGTTCGCAGTTCTTTGAATGACCATTTTCCAGGAAGATGGATTGGAAGAGGAGGTCCAATTCCTTGGCCAATTCCTTTATTATTTTATGAGTTATTAAACATCAAAATGGGTCCGGGACTTTATAAACACCCTGTATTATCTCACTCTCTCTGTTTATTTTCTGCACTCTGTCGTAATTTCAATTTTCAAAGGGTTATAGTTTAAAGGCAACAAAACTATATTTTTCATTAAGTTATACACCCAAAACAGCTGTGGGGGTGGCAGCAGCCGTTACTATTTTTTACAGATAAAAATAAAAACTATTTGGTATCGTTTTTTTTTGCATCAGATTTTTGAAAATATCAAAAATCGAAATTTAGTTTTTTTCGAGAAGTATTTAAGCAATCGAAAAGTATTTCAATTAAAAAAAAAAACTTTTTTGGAATATTTAGGCTAAAATCCACTTTTTATTTTTTACCTACCAAAAAAATATTTTTTGAAGTCTTTTTATGCCAGAAAATTTAACATTTATTATTATATAAAAGAAAAATAGAGGCCTGAGTTTTTATACCATAGAAAGAGAAACTGAGATCTTGTACCAGAAAAAAATCTGAAAGAATTCTGGCAGAAAACTCTTTTTATGACTGAAAGAAAATACATCCCTTTTAGATTTTTGTAAAAAAATATGAAGTTAAACAGTATGAGAAAAAAAAATTGAGATCAATTTGGGTTAGTAAAAATTAAGTTATTTTGGGCGCAAACCACTTTTAATGTTGAAAACAAGAAAAAAATCACAATTATAATAATTTTAGATTAACATTATGTGAAGAAATTGTCATGTCAAGAAATTTAAATTTTGGGTTATAAATTTTTTTAACGATTTTTAATAAAAAAAACAAACTACTTTTTCATTTTTATAATGACTGAAAATGAAAACATGACAACAAAGCATTAAAAAAAACATGACACTTAATATTAGGTTAGAAAACACTTTTCATTTTTTTTCTGATAAAAAAAAACAAACAGCATTTTGATTTGTTTTGAAAAATATCAAGATATAGCATAACAAAGAAAAAAAATTAGACCAAGAGAGTTCATTGTTGTGCTATAAAAACATTTTAAAGCTTTTTAGCTAAAAACAACTTTTTACTTTTTAAAGATATTTAAAGAAAAAACATACCATGTGATACCCTTTTTATGTTAGAAGCATGGCATATCACATAATGTGAAAACAAGTGCGTATCTAAAAAATCCTAAGTATTTTTGCTAAAAACCACTTATAATTTTTTGGTAACCAAACTCAAAAGCCACCTTCATAATTATTTTAAAAATTAGAATATATATGACACGCAAAATTAAGAGAAAAAAAATGGAGTTGATGTGAAAGAATCTTGGATTATTTTGGCTAAAAACCTCATTTTATTTTAAACTGACCAAAAACAAGAAACACCCTGTTTCTTTTTAGGTAAAAAAATATTTTTAATACCACGAGAGAGAAAAAAATTATGTGGTAACAGCAGATATTTCCCTGTTAAAATCATAAAAATTTGCAAAAAATGTTCCTTGAAACATTATTTAAGCAAAATGCTTTTAAAAATATTTATATAAATATTATAAGCATTTTAATAGCTTAATTACATCATATTGTTAACTTTTTATTTCTAATGAATCTAATATTTTCTTTTTAAAAAATAAAACCAATTGACTCATAAATGAAAATGATATCGACATTCCTAACTCTCTCACAAATATAAGTTTCATAAGAGGATATAAATATTTTTTTCCTTATTAACGTTATCTATATTAGCATATGGATAGTAATTTGTATGCAGACCGGAAATTTTTGGATACCAATAATAAGTATAATTTCCTTACGTCTTTGATTTGTGAAAATAACACAACGCTTTTAAGAATTCCTTATTTCTCCAATTAAAATAAATTATCTACTGCGACGAATTTCAATATGTTAAGTCACATAAACTGGTGGTACAGAGGTGGTATGCATATTATTGAAGAAGCTATGCACTAAAAAGCACCATCCATGGAGAAATGTTACTAATTCATTTAAGGGAAACAAGATATAGTTATACTATTTTTGACCATAATGATAATTAATTTATTTCTGTAATAGGTACTTATTGAATTGAAAGAAATAAACTGCATACTGCGTAGAAAATTTGATAGAAAGATGGTACTAATTCCATTAGGTGAAATGTAAAAAATATCACCACACCATTATTTTCGCCAATGATACTTAATTTTGGTACTATTCAGCTTTAGTAGTTTGGTAATTGGTGCAGTTTAAATAGGTGTCAAATATACTAGTATAGGTACTACTTCATTTGGTACCTATTAAAATGAGACTAATACTTTGCAGTCATAATATGGATAGTGTGAAGAGATGAAAGAGGACAGGAGAAAACTTCTGATTGCTGTAAATTTTGACTATAATGAGTTTGGCCTCAAGAAACATGACAAATGATACCGAATTCATTATTTAGATAAACTATTAAAAAAACTTGTCTCACTTAAGAATAATTTGGTCAATAAAGACGGATGAATTTATTTTATTTTTATTAATTGTGTCGGTATGAGTCTTACGCACAAATGTTGTTTTCGTATTGTCACTTTTTTTTGGAAAATTTCATATTGTTCAGGGAAGATTGTATTCCGGAGGTACCCCAGAACTCCGGGTTTTTCACATCTTTCTTCTGCGTCTGAAAGCTAGAAGTGGTGCATGCGATTTTCGCACGAATATTGCAGAATTCCGCGTACTTTAAAACCATTGTTCCACGAATCAAAAACTTATAATCCGACAAAATTTTGAAGCTTTTTTCTAAATCCCGTTGACGAGACGTTCACATACATTCTTCCACCAATTATGTGAATCTATGAAAAATCTTTCTACTCAATCTTTCCTTCGTAGTCAGGTCCTAGAAAAATTCCCAAAATAGGAAAATTTTCTTAATTTTAAACACTAAATATTACATTTCTGATCTGTCTTACATTAAGTTTGCTTTGTTGTCCTGCTTGTTATCTTTGGAATGTTTATTGCATTGGCCCTGAAAAAAAAAACAATATATAAATGAATTACTATCAATAAAAATACCATTCAAAACTTGAAAGTCAGAAAAAAATGAATGAAATTTGAATAAATATAAAAAGAGTTTACTGCTACTGCATATTGTAAATTATTTTGTTACACTTACTCTGACCTCAGTAAACTATTATCAATGTTTACAACGTCATTGGAATGCGTTAAATCATGTTATCATACAAATTGTTTGTTGAATTGAACGAGATTGTCGTGTTTTTTTGACGTGAGTACACAATATCATGTTTCAACTGGAGTAGAAATATGGTTCAGTTCAGCCCCTCATTAAAACTGCAGCAACCTTTTTTTAAGTTCGAGGCAGAACCGACATTTCTGAATGTGATGTTGAAACATACATTTCAAGCGTGTACTGCTTATAATACATAGAATTCAATTGAAAAGAATATTAAAAAAATCATATAACAGCGAAAACTGTATCTATCTATCTATCTATCTATCTATATATCTATATATCTATCTATCTATCTATCTATCTA